CATTATCCTAGCCGCCACTGCGTCTGCAAAGCTCTGGGGAGGGTGAGTCTGGAGAAATCTGCGTCCTCCCCACGGTCTAGGCCAGGCTCAAGCCCTACCACATACAACTCCTTTTAAAATAATAGTAGCAAAAAATAAAAAATAAATAAAAAATAAAATAATAGTAGCGGCCTGTTTGTTCATCACTGCAGGTCCCCCTCCCTGCTGCCACTGTTGGGGTGGGGGAGATACCGACCTGGGGATGCGAGAGACAGGCAGCCAGAGGCAAACACTCCTCCAGGCAAAGCGCTCCTCCCCGCCTCCAGGTAGGTCCTCAGAGACTGACCCACAAAGACAGACCCTGCCCAGACGACACCCAGCCAGGCCATTAGGAAAAGCCCTGCACACACAGCCCTGCACACACAGCCCTGCAGGTTCCCACAGGCCGTGTCTGACCACAGGTGCTGGACCCCGGGGTCACTCTGCCGCCTTAAGCAGGCCGCGGGCTCTAGGACTGGGAGTGGCACACAGACGCATGCCTGGGGCTCCTGGGGACCTCTTTGGCAACCCTGGACGGCAGTTTCCACTCAGGAAGGGGTGGGGAGGGGTGGGGGTTAGCATCAGATCCCGCACTGGCACCCTCTCTGGTCCCACTCGGACCCGCATGGCAAGGACACAGCAAGTCCCACTCCTCTTAGGATAGAGCCTGGCTCTCTAACATGGGAGTTTCCAGACATGGGACTTCTGCCCGGAACAGCTCCGCCCTACTCCGTTTCTGGAGAACCTAGACCAGGTAGGATGCCCAGCTCAAAGGGAAGCCCCTCCCTAGTGCCTCCGAGGCAGGTGTCTGACGCCGGGCGTGTCCTAGAGGGGCGGGGCCTATGCGGGGCGGGAGCGGGTCCTAGGGCTTCCCGGGTTGGCACCCTGGGCGCTGAGCTGGACCTAGGAAGGCGGAGCTGTCACAGGCTGAGGGGACATGAATGGGGGTCGTGGGTGAGAGCCCTTGTTGGGGTGCTTCTTCCGTCTGTATCTCCCTGTCTAGGTAGTGAAAGAGCCACACGGGCTTCCGCGTGTTCCCCGCTGAGACTTGGGTTGGGGCCGGACCACAGTCACCCTCCCCTCGGGCCCTGTGCCTGGCCGCCCACCCCGTCAGTGAAGAGACTCAGTGTGGGACACATCTGGTTTATTGATCTGGGCGGGAGGCACCGCTGTGCAGCGGGCCAAGGAGCGGAAGGGAGGACAGACAGACACACAGCCCTACACAGGGCGGCCCGGAGGTAGAGGCCCGCACGCCTCTTCTGTGCAAGAAGCGCATCGCTTCACATGCCGCAGTGCTCCACACTCCACTGTATGAGCGGGAGGGGGACACACAAAAGGCCATGGAGAGGGATCGCGGCCGAGGAAGTCAAGACGGGGACCTGCGCCGGGGAACTCGCTGGAGGGGAGGGCCCTGAGGCTGCGCTGGCCGGTGCGCTCGCAG